ACGGGAGGGGGGGGGGGGGGTAGTGGATTATCGTTAATGTTGTTATTATTGATTGGAAATACGCTGTAAAACATTTGTCACCTCCTACGATTCGTCTCGTCCTTCGATGCCGGGATTTTGGGTGGTCGAGAGAGGGGGGGGGAGAAGGGATAATTTAATCAATTCTCTTGATTGGCCACAGGAGAAAGATGCGATAAGTCATGGAAAGAAAACTGCAACGACTAGAACGACGACGACGACGATGACGGCGGCAGCAGCGGCCAGACACCATCAGAAGAAGTCCAACCGCGACCCCAGGCGCCAGTCGGTGGATATCGAGGAGAACGGATCGTACGTGTACTTTGAGCGAAAAGTGCCAGCGAACGAATTAAACTTTGTAATGCGAAACCTCCGGCACTTCGGCAAATACAATATAATGGTAATGGCCTGCCGCGACAAGTTCGCCAATCCCCAGGAGAACGAGTGCTCCTCCGAGTCGATGAAGTCGCTGCAGACACTGAGGATGGATCACGCGGACGACATAATGCCTGGCACCTTCGGCTTACACAAGCTCACCAGTAACGACAGCTCCACGACGATAAAGCTCCAGTGGCAGGAGCCACCCCAGCCGAACGGCGTCATCGTCGCCTACCAGATCGAGTACAAGAGAGTCGACGTACTCAATGTCAGTATGCCCAAACCCCTATAGACGGCACCGCCTCGTTTCCCTTGCACCCGTAGACCCAAGGAATCGGGTACCGTCCGTTGCAATGGTAACCTCGCTCATCCTACCCTCCATCGCGACCTTCCTTCCTGACTCGTTATCCCTCGTCGCGGTCTCTGCCCAGCCATTTGATGCGGGATTTTTGTTGAACCGCGACGAGAGGAAAAAATGAGGCAGGAAGGGCCAGGCTACAATGTCCCATGGTGGATGGATGGATGGATGGATGGATGGATAGATGGATGGGTGGGTGTGACCAAGGTCGTAACTTCGTGGTTACTACGGTTGCAAATAAGATTCGGGCGTGCCTGAGAACGAATTTATAGGTATATGTAAATAACTTTCTCTCTCCCACTCCCTTCCCCCTCGTTATCACTCATTCTCTTTCTCGCATACTCTTTCTCTCTCTCTCTCTCTCTCTCTCTCTCTCACTCGCTCACACACTCTATCATCTTTGCCCTCCATTATCCCCAACCACCATTATCATTTTCGCATTGCAGCACAAGACGATAGTGGCCTGTACGACCCGCGACAAGTTCAAGGACGACGGCTACTCCTATATCCTGCCGAGCTTACCGCCGGGCAATTACTCGGTTAAGGTGCGGGCGACGAGTTTCGCCGGCAACGGTGCCTACACGGAGATTAAGTACTTCGACATTCCCGAGTCGAACCTCTCGACGCCGTTCTGGAAGGTGATGCTAATCGTCCTTCTTTGCATCATCCTCCTTTTGGGTGCTTGCCTCTGCGCCGCTTACTTTTTCAAGAAAAAGTTCATGCGCAACGTGCCGAGCATGAGGCTTATCGCCACCGTTAACCCGGACTACGTCAGCACCGTCTACATCCCAGACGAGTGGGAGGTGCCGCGGAAGAAGATCCAGCTGTTGAAGGAGCTGGGCAACGGCTCTTTCGGCATGGTCTACGAGGGTATCGCCAAGGACGTGGTCAAGGGAAGGCCGGAGATGCGGTGCGCCGTTAAGACTGTGAACGAGAACGCGACGGACCGGGAGAGGATCGAGTTCCTCAACGAAGCATCGGTCATGAAGTATGTAATTCAGCACGGAGCTTGCGAGCCGACCTCTTTAATCCAACGAACTTCGCCTTCCTCGCCTTCCTCGCCTTCCTCGCCTTTCCAACTTGACGCTCCATCCGCAAGGCAGCGCCCTTGCAATGTTTTGTCAGTCTGTAGACGGCCCCCATCCCCTCATTATCTACCGGCTACTTTATTTGGCCCAAGCCCGTTCGAGATATTAATCGTTGTTATAGATGTTAATCGTTGCTGTATACCGCAGCAAAAGAAAGAAAGAAAGAAAGAAAGAAAATATGTCCGGTTCTTGGTTGTTAATATTTATTAATACGTGGACTAAAGTAACTTTCTTCCTCTTTGGCCAACGAAATGCATGTGGAAGGAGAGATAGCAAGACGCTACGCGTAAATATAAATTTCTCAAAGGTGAAAGTTTCGGATAATCGCAAAAGATCGTGGAAGCTCGAGAAAGATAATTCGCAATCATCTCGGTAATTTGAGATGTAGGGGTTGGGAGGAGAGGGGGACGCGTGCTTTGACTTAGCCAATGTAAAGCCGTCATAGGACAATGTAAAGGTACTTGGTTGTGCGTATTGTGTGCAGGGGCTTCAATACTCACCACGTAGTGAGGCTCGTCGGGGTCGTGTCCCAGGGCCAGCCAACTCTGGTGGTGATGGAGCTGATGGTGAACGGAGACCTAAAGACGTACTTGCGCTGCCACCGACCGGACGTCTGCGAGAACTTCTCGCGACAGCCCCCGACGCTCAAGCGTATCCTACAGATGGCGATGGAGATCGCCGACGGCATGGCATATCTAGCGGCCAAAAAGTTCGTACACCGCGACCTGGCCGCGCGCAACTGCATGGTCGCGGACGATCTCACCGTGAAGATCGGCGACTTCGGCATGACGAGGGACGTCTACGAGACGGACTACTACAGGAAGGGCACCAAGGGTCTGCTGCCCGTGAGATGGATGGCGCCTGAAAGTCTGAAGGACGGTGTCTTCACGAGCTTCTCCGACGTCTGGAGTTACGGGGTCGTGTTATGGGAGATGGTGACTCTGGCATCCCAGCCCTATCAGGGCCTGTCCAACGAGCAGGTAAACCATCGTCCATTATTATGTCTTAGCAGCGATCGGTAGCTGTTAAACGTCATTTCCCGCGATCTTCGAAGCCTTAAAGGAGAGGATCGAAAACAATGACCTTAATGCATGGCGAAGTAGCTGCATTATAAGCGAGCTTTTCTCATGAGCTTGAAAATCGTATTCGGCGATTATTATGTTAACACTGGATTCTCATTATAGTCGAGTGATTCTCCTGAACTTGATCGCCTCATCTTAATTGGTTGATTTAATTTAGTTTTTTAATTTTTAAAAATTTTTTTTTTTTTTTTTTTTTTTTTATCATTATTAACAAAAGGCGAATGTCCAACCAACTTCAATTGGAATTTAATAAATATGCACGAACTCTTCAGGTCCTGCGATACGTAATTGATGGCGGCGTAATGGAAAGGCCAGAAAATTGTCCGGATTCGCTCTACGTACTGATGCGACAGACATGGAATCACAAAGCTACCCGACGGCCCACTTTCATCGACATCGAGGGAATGCTTTTATCGGAGATCGACGTCGAGTCTTTCGAACGAGTTAGCTTTTATCACTCCCCCGAGGGTGTCGAGGCTAGAAATCAAAATAGCTCGCAATTTCTTCGGACCGACAAGTGAGTGATTTAAGATGTTGCCATCCGAACCTCATCCCCATCTACTTTTTTTAATTCTTCTCCTATAATTAATGATAAGTGGCCGAACGAATGGTTGGATTATTTTCAATGCCTGCTGTCAGGCGGAAAAATGAAGTCTCGCTCGTATGACTCCCCCCCCCCCCCCTCCCCCAACTCGCCTCACCCCATTAAGCAACGATTTTTTCGTTCTTTCAGGGACTTGGAGTTGGTCACGCTGCAGGATTTGCACGAGGACGAGGCCGAGGGCGACGAGGACTCACCCCTACGCCAAGACTTTGGCGACTTCTCGTCCTTCGAACCGATCACGAGCGTGAAAAACGGATCTTCCGGCCACTTTGGCATGGAGCCGTTCACGGGCAACTCCAAAGTCCTCTCCACGCCCTTCAGCTTCCTCGATCTCAACTCATCGAAGGCGCCCCTCAAGGCCGGCTTCGACGACTTCGACGGAGTATCGGCGGGCTCGCTCGCCTCCAGCAAAGATACCCTTAACTTGCCCTTCGTCGAGGACAGCGTCAAGTCCGTGAGAAACTCGCCCTTCGCGCAGAAGAAGTCTTCCTCAAAGGGCAACGTTAGCCAGGGTTCCGCGGGCAGGACGTCCCTCAGTCCCCAAAGTTCCATCGTCATTGCGGCTCCGGGCAATCTTGGTTCGTCTAATTTTATCTGACCTTGGTCTTTTCTCTACACCATCGACGCTAGACGTTTTTACGTTCAATTATTAAAGTGCCGCTTCCAAGTTCTATCCGAGTTTGCTGAATAAAGCAAAGCTCACCGCTTTCACTGAGTTGAGCTTTCATTCAACTTTGATCAATATATACAATATTCATTTATACGGATGCATAATGGCTTTGTTGTTAAACGAGGATGCCAAAACCGCGCATATATACTCACTTTGTCTCACGGTACATGATATCTTTGAACGAAAATATACCGCGATACTTTCACATCATATCATTATTCGTTACGATGACACTTTCACCGTTCACCTTAAACCTGGCATTATAAAAAATCTTGAAATAAATGCTTGGAAGAACTGCTGAAATAGGCCTCTTCTTCTTAGTTTTACTTCAATCGCAATGTCAATCCCAACGACGCATCTCTCTTTCTCTCTCTCTCTCTCTATCTCTAACTCTCTATCTCTATCTCTCTATCTCTATCTCTCTGAATATCATCTAACCGTACAATGTTCAATCACTTTTTATGTAATATTTTTCTATTTAATGGATAAGGCTCCGTGCCAGCGCCAACTAGAACCGAAACTATAAAACTCCTTTAATTAAATTAACGATGAAAATATCAATTAATTGCTGACAACGGCACTTTTTTTCTTTCCTATCGTAATGATAAATTTGTCATTAACGTAAAGGTGCTCTACCGGTCACGCAGCCCATTACCTTACAAAGCCAATACTCATCACGTATGACTCGCATGCCAAACGGACAAAGGAAAGATCTAGGATCGCCAGATGCCCGTTCGAGCGACGGACCCTGAGATGCTAATAACGTCGTTTCGTTGAAGTAGGTAACCGACCGAGTCCCTCGCTAAAGGACAGCCGCCGCTCGGACCCGGAGTACGAGAACCGCAGCCCCGATGCAGTGGAGCATCAGCACCAGCCCCGTTCGATTGGCCTCCGCGTAAGTTTCCCGTCGATGGACGCGATCGATGCGGACATCGGCCCTGACATCGTCCCAACGACGATGACGACGCAGACGACGATGCAACAACCGCCGCTACCACCGTTACCGACGTTGCCGCCGCCACCTCCTCCACCGCCACCATCGTCGTCATCGTCATCGACGTCGTCGTCGTCGTCGTCGTCGTCGTCGTCGTCGTCGTCGTCGTCGTCGTCGTCGTCGTCGTCGTCGTCGTCGTCGTCGTCGTCGTCGTCGTCGTCGTCGTCGTCGTCGTCGTCGTCGTCGTCGTCGTCGTCGTCGTCGTCGTCGTCGTCGTCGTCGTCGTCGTCGTCGTCGTCGTCGTCGTCGTCGTCGTCGTCGTCGTCGTCGTCGTCGTCGTCGTCGTCGTCGTCGTCGTCGTCGTCGTCGTCGTCGTCGTCGTCGTCGTCGTCGTCGTCGTCGTCGTCGTCGTCGTCGTCGTCGTCGTCGTCGTCGTCGTCGTCGTCGTCGTCGTCGTCGTCGTCGTCGTCGTCGTCGTCGTCGTCGTCGTCGTCGTCGTCGTCGTCGTCGTCGTCGTCGTCGTCGTCGTCGTCGTCGTCGTCGTCGTCGTCGTCGTCGTCGTCGTCGTCGTCGTCGTCGTCGTCGTCGTCGTCGTCGTCGTCGTCGTCGTCGTCGTCGTCGTCGTCGTCGTCGTCGTCGTCGTCGTCGTCGTCGTCGTCGTCGTCGTCGTCGTCGTCGTCGTCGTCGTCGTCGTCGTCGTCGTCGTCGTCGTCGTCATTGTCGACGTCGCAACTGGTGGACAAGAACTCCCGCGTGGAACCCGCGCTCCGTAACAAGCAGCAGTATACGAGCAAAGCCGCTGATCCCCAACCACCCCAGCCACCACCGCCGCCCCCGGCCCTCGCGACCCTCAATAACGGCTATGTGGGCGGGGCGGCCACGTAGCCTCGCGAGGAGGCCGCCGGGAAGCCGACGGTGAGCCTCGGCGGCATTCGTAGGGCCGTCAGCGCTTAATCGACCTCGGCCGACGCTCGTAGATGGGAAGAGAGGAGTCGAGCGAGAGCTTCGTAGACCGCCGCCAAACCCTCCTCCCTCTGCCCCAACCACAACTCACTCACCCTCACTCACCCATCCACCCACATTTTCCTCCTTATTCACCCTTTCAAGAGCGCCTCAACCGTTATTCGTCCCTGTTCCATCCGAGTAGAAAAGGGACGGGATTCGGTGCTGACTGGCTGGACCACCGCCCCTCCCCCCGACACTCGGCGGCTCGAACGTGCTTAACATGCTTTGGACCGAGTCTGCTTCGAGCAGCTTCCGACTTTACGGCGTTGAGAGTCAAAGGGTGCTAGATAGCGCGGCTTGGGGAAAGGTGAGGAGACGCGCCTCGTGGGCTTATAATTGCGCGGTAGCCACAGGCGTCGGAATTAGGCCCGAAGCAGTAAATCTACTATTGTATGATTGATTGTAAGGTTAACACATTGGTAAGGTCCCTAGGTTTCTGGTATGGCACGCAATTTCTACTCAGGATTTCCTTCGACACTCATTATCGCTCTCTCTCTCTCTCTTTCTCTCAATCTCTCTCTCTCTCTCTCTCTCTCTCTCTCTCTGGACTACTCCACTCCAATCACAACACTCGTCTCTTTCTCTCTATTACCTCACTCTCTTCGTACTCCTGTTCCTTTGATATTGTATATCGCGATCACAAGGCACATTGGATCGCTTAATATGCGCGTGTGTGTAAATACATGTATACGCGTGCCCTTGCACATAGACTCAAGTGTATACAATCACGTAGCGCGAGTGTGTAGCAGTCGTGCTCGCGTAAAAGGGCATCAAACGGCGCACACGTAGGTACGTGTGATCATGGAGGGAGAAAGGTTGCGTTAATATCAAATAAAATTGATAGATCTTACTTTTTGGAAAAAGGGACAATGTCTCTGCGTCTTGTTTGGTTGTAGAATAAAATTAAATGGATTCGACAAAGCGTTATTACTTTTTTAAATTGATTATAGTTACGCGTTGATATTAAAAATTAAAGCACTATGTGTGCGCTCTCGTTGTAAGTGAAAGAGTTTGAGAATTAACCGTATAAGCTATTTCGTACGATTGAATGAAGTTTGTTGCCATTTAATTTCATAATCGAGCTAAATATGAAAAATTTTCAAAGGCTTTATTAATTAATTATTTTATAATATTAATTTAATTCTATAACCAATATTCTGTAAAATCTAAGCACTTCATGCATTTACTAAATTAACAAAGATTCATTTTAATTTGGAGTTTACTTGATGGCATTCGGATCCAAAGCTGCTAAGCTCGAAAGAATTTTAGCTTAATTTAGTTTTGACTCGCAAATTTCAAGTCTACGATTGTACTATTGAATTCGCTAAGTTAATTTTAATGATAATACGGTAATTGTTTAGTCAAAGCAAGTGAACAATAACTTTCATTGAATATTTAAACGCAAGATTTTTATAAAATACCGAGGGCAGCGCATACATTAAGAAAACAAAAAAGAAAAAACATATTAAATAAAACCCAATCTTCCTATTGTTAAATGTAAGCAAACAAACGAAAGATTTTATATTTAAAAGTTTTGAACGTACAATTCAACTAATGATAATGAAATTATTTAGATATAAGTATTTAAGTAGCATTTCAAATCAGTCAAAAATTAAAAATTTTAATTTTCGAGATATTTAAGTATTTTTTTAAGGGAGAAAAAAATACTTATCTATATATATATATATATATATATATATATATATATATATTACAAATGGTTTATAAGTCTCTTGATCTAATAGCTTCAATTATAAATGTTTTTTGGTGTCATTTTTTGAACAATATTTATTTCAAACTCAAAGACGCTCGTATGGTTATAAATATATTTTCAATGCCCCACCGCGGAATTCCTTCGAGAAATGGTTAAACAATCCATTCAACACTCGAGCAGCAATAATTAGACGATAATTGCTTGAAAGTGTATGAAAGTAAAGACAGGATAACAAAGCATAAGAGAAGTTAACTTTCCAAGCAATTAAACCTAGAGATCTAAGAATTTGGCTACGTATTTTAATCATAAAAGTTTTTATTTCTCAAGTAACGCAGTGCTTTTGTTGTTGTTGTTGTTGTTGTTGTTGTTGTTGTTGTTGTTGGTGTTGGTGTTGGTGTTGGTGTTGGTGTTGGTGTTGGTGTTGTTGTTGTTGCCGTTGATGATGTTAAATTCACTGCTCTGATTGGTTGCGGTGTTTTATCGAATGGCAGACAGAAATTCCAACGTAGAGAACTTTTAAACGATCGACAGCGAGAGAAAAGCTGGCGATATCAATATAAAATACGATACTCCTTGGATTCCGCTGACTATTATCCTTAATTATAAGTTCGATATAGATATATTCACTTCGTCTCCCACCAGTTTGAAAATGGAAAACACGTTTTTTTTTCTTTGTTCAACGACGCGCGTAAGAAGAAACTGAGAGATAATACTGATGCTGTCTTATTATTATTTTCAAAAAATGTAAAGTGACAGTGATGCCGCATCGACGAGTGATAAACGCGACTAGTGAACGCATAAGCCGATAAACTTGTCCAACAATTTTCCGATTTTCCACAAATAGTTACATTCGAGAATACATCTTGTTAATCCTGCTTTCTTTGAATTACCAAGCATATTCCCAACTAATGGTTGGCCCAATATGCTGATGCAAACGATGTACGTCCATATTATATTCCCCTTCGTATTAAAAACATAAAATACATACCGAAATAGTATAGAAAGAATAATAATAATGTAACTATTAGAATGTGACACGAGATAAAAAAATCTCTTCTCATCGATCGTATTGGCCGACTTGAAATTATCAAAGATCCTTAAATAGATTAGAGTTGTCACTTTGAAGTATCCTACAATAAATATCCTACGGATATATAGTGAAATAATAAAAATAAAGGGCAGGCACGAAGAAGGGAAAAGCGAAACTGAAAATCTTTTAGCCATCGCGGAATTATCCGTAAGAACGTGGATAGAGAAAGAGAGACTTCTTAGACGATAGAACGAGTAATTTACATGCTTAAGTCATCCCTAAGTCTTAAGATCTAAAAACGGAAGGAAGCGAGCTACGGAAGTGAGATAGAATTAATCTCATTTGATTAAACTGATTGATTAATGTTTGAGATTTAATGGGAATAAAGAGAGGGTGGACACGATTGCTGAAATTGGCTAGTCGACGCGCTAAGAAGACTTTTCGTTTTCTCATTATGCGGTAATCGATTTGACGCTTGATACTTATTATCCGTATAGACGATCTTCATGGTAAATAATGGAATTTCCAATTAATGGAAATTGATATGAAAATTTGAAAAGCAACAGGACAAGTAATTAACATTTGTAGCAAACTTGAAATTTAAGAATAGAATACTATTTTTCAAAATAGTATTTTTCCGACATTATTCACATTATTCGATGCTAAAAAATGAATGGAAAAGAAAGGAAATGAGAACGAGGACAGAAAATAATATCGTCGCGTAAATGACTATCTGTGTGAATTACCGTATATTTCAATGGATTTCGTATCGTAGGTGATTTGAAGAAATCGATGACACGTTTCAGAGTTAAAAATCATCTATAATTTCAAGTTCAAAGTGAATTTTAATTATTTGCGCGCTAGTCACGTTAATTTGCTCAATTTTCCTTAAATACCAGGGAGTTTTCAAAATGGTAAATCACGAGCATCGGCAATCGCTAGTCGTGCATATAAATATTGAAAAATTGTTAATCGTAGGCTGATTTTGCTTTATGAATAGTTGTCGGGCTACATTTTAACTGGACGAGTGCGCATCATCGTAGGAAGATATTCTTGGTTTAAAATTTTTTCGTGCGTCTTTATTCTATTCATACTTTTACACGTAACCTCCCATCCCCTGCTTGATCGCGCGCGCGCGCGCGCGCAGATACCACACGCAGTACGCAGATAATGCATATTTTCATGGTGCTTATATTTCTTTCTGATTTTTTCTCTCATCTTTTTTCTACTCTCTCTCTCTCTCTCTCTCTCTCTCTCTCTCTCACTCACTCACTTTCTCTCTATCTCCGTCTCATTATTCTCTTCATATTCTTTCGCTATTCACTTCAATTATATTTACTCTTTCTTCCCGTTGAAAGAGAGAAGACTTTTATTAT